ATCTATAGACTATCTGTCTATCTATATATATCTATAGACTATCTGTCTATCTATATATATCTATAGACTATCTGTCTATCTATATATCTATAGACTATCTGTCTGTCTATCTATATGTCTATAGACTATCTGTCTATCTATATATCTATAGACTATCTGTCTATCTATATATATCTATAGACTATCTGTCTATCTATATATATCTATAGACTATCTGTCTATCTATATATATCTATAGACTATCTGTCTATCTATATATATCTATAGACTATCTGTCTATCTATATATCTATCCACATTCGGTAAATGAATATTGTACGAGAATGTAGAGATTTTAGGGTATTGTGTTTTAACTTTTATATTTCCATTCAAAATAAAACCTAAATTAATATTATTAAGCCTTACTTATAGTCACCGGCACGAGTTATCGAGTATAAAATAGGTTAAATCAAGCTTCTTCTTCTATGCCAGCATGTTTTATTAACGTTGCTTCATCTACTGTTCGACAACAATACGTATGTGTTTTACTTTTATTAAAACTCTGTACGGCACCACGATAACCGCCAAATATGGAAATTGAAGTTCTAAAAATAATGGTTTTAAGTAGGAATTGTGTTGATTACTATTAAGATCACTCAACTTTCGAAACAGGAAATTGCGTCTTGTCAACACAAAGTTCAGCCACTGAGAGGAAAAGCTGGTAGTTCATCTTTAGTTTTATGTAATCTAATCTTTTTAATGTAGCACGCTCAGACTTACGCTGGCTTATTAGCTATTCAGGAAATTAATCTAAAAATCTATTTTGCGTTTTATCCTTTGTATTGTTAGAGTTTATATGATTTTTGTCATGTATACATGTATATGTAAAACCATGAAAATTTTTGAGGAATTGTCACGAATACGTACTCTTTAATAAGTTTTAATACGTTTTATGTCTTATATATTACGATAATTATAAACGGTTTAGATAGTGTTTTTTGTATGTAATATGTTGTTATGTGAACACTTTTTGTCGGTTGTGTAATCATTCAGATACACTTGAAAGAATACTTTTTCGGATGTTCGAAGAAGTGTAGTTATTCCGGTACTCTGGAAAGGGCCGTCTTTCAGGTTCACTCGGAAGAACACTCATGCGTGTATTTCCAGAAAGTCAGATATTCGGATACTCTCGGAAGGGATCACAAAAATCGGAAGAACGAATAGAAAAGTGTGCTACGGACATACAGATCCCCTGATAGTTCAGCAACTAAGAATGAGGGCTTATGACGCTAAAATTTAAGTTTCGATCACTGCAATGGGCACAATAGAGATATATGATTGTGAAGCTTTGCGCTTGACAACAAACAAACAAATAATGGACGGATAAAACACGGAATGAACTTCGGTGCGGTGGCAGTGAGAAGTTCAAGCAAGTATGTGTTGGAGCTCAGATAAAATATGACGTCATATCTGTGAAGGTGTGGAGATTTCTGTAAAATATAAGGTGGGAAATATTGGTGGTGTTAGAAAGATAGAGCAGCATCATAACGTCGTACATTATCAACTGGATGACATTTAATTGACTCTGGCTTTGAACTGCAGTCAGGATAATATCCCAAATCATACTCTGCTGTTGGAAAAAAAAAGTACTTGTAGGAGAAAGAGAGAGAGAAATGTAACGGGCGTGGGTCCGACGTTACATTTGTTACAAAGAAATTTAATTGTATTTCAGGTTGTGCTTTCGCGAGCGGAGCACACAAGCCACCAACTCGAGGAAGTTTACGTGTGGAATAAAGAACTCACGCAGAAACAATAGAAAACAATCAAATGACTTTTTTATTTATACACTGTTGAGCGTTTCATCTATATCGAAACTCTAAAAGTTATTTTGAAACAATACTAACTCTAAATCATTGAATTCTTTGTTTTTAAGATCTAGATGTCCGTTACTAAGACCTTTTATTATGTTCAACAACACAGACAAACATTAGTTAGATTATGAACTAAGTTAACACGAGAAATTCTCTCGGTCATAATCAGTATAATTGCATTAACAATTCTTCTAAGGTACCTTTCAGTAGTTCCACTATAAGCGTTATCAAGCCTATTATTTCTTTAGTACAGTTAATGTTATTCACTTTTCTTTTATTATACATTATACATTATTGAATCTTAAGTTAAACACTGTTAGACTATAATAGTAAAATAGTATACTTACAAGGCGTTTGTGGGGCGAACATCTTGTAGATTCTGGATTACTGCCATCTTCCCTCTTCTGAAGTCAGAAAAATTCTCTGGAGCAATTTCATAAGTGCGGAGAAGTGACGTTTATAGTCTGAAACAGGAAATAATATACACACTTTTTAGTGTTTTTCTGATTAATCAAAAAGTTTAGCAGAGCTACCTTTAAAAGTAGTTCTTTTAACTCGATTGGCACAAGTGGAATCTTCCATCAACAAATGGACTATTCCATCAGACTTTTAACCAAATTCCACCTTGTTATTGGTCATTACAGAACTTATTTCTGTTCCTTATCTAATATCTTTGGCGAAATCATCCAAGATAATTAATTTAGGGCGTATAGAGACAAACCGTGTAACTCAGGTCTCTTCACAGTGATTTTCCTTGCTGTCCCGTTAACAGTTTTTGGTGACATTGATTCATTTCGTTAGGAGCTTTATCTAAACAATTAGGGCCTTATCTCAGTATACCACGACTGTCTAGCACTAGAATCTGTAGCTGTGAATTATCTTGCCTCTAGGTCAAGACACGGAATGTGTCTTTGGCTAACTCGTGCAAGGGTCCTCAAACTTGTATCATCTTTATTTAGTATTGTGGTTCATCAGTATTCACGTTTTTATAACATTTACGATCTGCTGCTTTTTCCATAATATACGTTAAAAAATAAAATGTTCTTCTTGAAAACTTTTAGATATGTATTTACTTAGTATTTTTATTCCACAAATACTTCAGAAAGTTCATGATACAAAAGTCATGAAATGCTAAAGTCTAATTAAATGAAAAATGTGCGACACAAATTAGAAAATAATGTTACAAAATATAAGCCGATTAATGTGCTCTAATTTTGGGAGAATATGCAGAAACAAAGGAAGGAAATATTGACTGATAGTCTTAAGTAAACTCGTAGAATCCTTGCCTGATCGATGTCTTCATATAGCTAGAGGAAAACCCTCTAAATATTGTTTATTCAGTTTACGTAGCAAAATAAACTTCTGATACCTAACGTAATAGTATTGTGTATGGATGTAACATAGTTTTTTTTTCAACATTTCTTGAAAGTTTGAATGTTGATGCCTTGGATTCAGAATTACAACTGTTATTGTTTTGTATTTAGAGTTTATGGCTAAGCCATTAAAGTTATCTGCCGCCGTCCGTAATTTTGAACTACTGACCTGAGGAAGGCAGCCAATTAGCAATACCTTAACACACATAATCCGTGCTAAAGAATTGTCTTCTACTCTTATAATGCACTTACAGTTTAAAGAGCTGAATATTTTGTGGTATCTCACAGGTTCGAACCCAACTTGTCAAGTCCAGAGCTCTACCACAGGATCTAACGACCGGTAAATAAGTATGTTGTTAAATGAAGATATAAGATGTTATTCAATAGGCTGAGAAGAACATCAGTACATCTTTTGGTTCAATTGCTCTATAATAGGGCCAGGCATGGCCTGATGAATAGGGCGCTCGAGTTGCAACCTGCGGGTCTCGTGTTCGAATCCTGTCACCGAACATGCTATCCCTATTAGTCGTAGAGTTTTATAATGTGGGGGTTAATCCCACATTTCGTTGATAAAAGTAGCCCAAGAATTGGCGGTGAATGGTGTTGACTAGCTACCTTCCTTCTAGTCTATCACTTCTAAATTATGAACGGCTAGCATAGATAGCCCTGGAGTAACTTTGCTCAAAATTCAACATATCCTATAATTGTAAACACATTTTTTATCCTGCTTTTTAAATCAGAAATATTAAGCGTTTATATCTTCTTTTAGATGTGTAACAAGATTGGTTATTGTTATAAACAGGGGTTCAGGGACAACAGTCGTTCTGAGTCAGTCATATAGGCTACTATTCTTTGAAGTAGTGTTTCCATGTGTTAAAGTAACTCAGACTCGCATTGTTTAACAGACAAAACATAGACATAAAGAGAAAAATGAAGTACTCTACCTAAAAATAGAATGACGGATAGAGAGACACAGATAAACTAATCGGATAAACAATGATGATAACCCGATGTAATTGGATAACCTAGGTCTTGAGAGAGAGATAGATTAAACGGACAAACAGATTTTAAGAGAAAGAGACACACCTAAGTCTCGTGTACATTAGTACCTGACACGATAGAAAGAACGAGACTACAAAATACGTCAGTGTTAATGCGTTTTTTCAATCTTATTATACTATATTATTTTTCTTCCTTATATTTATGTCTTAAGAAATATCACTCTCAATGAGAATTCGTGAATTGAGAATATTTCACCATTTCTGCAAAGCACATTAGATTTCAATCAGAAGTTTTAAGTATACAATACCAGAAATGAGCTCACTCAATATACTTATGTGTAATATTTTCACAGTGTTTACCTAAATTCCTTGGCATTTCATTTATTTAAAGAAACCCTGATGGACAGTTAATATTGCAAAAATTTCAGTCAGTTTGTAATTGAAAGTAAATAATTGTTTTATTATACATTTTTCAGAAAAGCTGGACGGTATCGTTCCTATTTTGACCAGAGGTCACCACTCCTTTCCGTTTAGGTTCCAGCTTCCAGAAAGTAGCCTCCCATGTAGTTTCGAGGCTCGTCATTGTACTGTCCGTTATTACGTCAAAGTAACACTGGACATCCCGTATGCCTCTTCCCCTCAGGGTATGAAGTATTTCACAATTATAGGCCCACATATCGATTGCATGGAGGAGCAATACTTGGTAAGTATTCCTCTTTTACTTCTGACGTATTCTACAGGATTCTCCGAAAAAATTGTTCCACTCATTTCTTCCATTAATAGCCCATTTTGTACATTACCAGTTCAGTCATTGTCATTTCCAGAACACTGAAATTTGCTGTGATAGAAGGCTAGCGGGGGTATATTGTATTTATTTACCTACGTATAAAGGCTTTCGAACGTCTTTCGATATTTCTATATTTTGATGCGGTATGTAAATACCAAATATGTCACTCTCCTATAGTGCATAATTATGAAGTATAAAAAATAAGTGCCCTAAAGTTCTAAAGCGGAACACAATTAGATCTTGTCAAGGTGTCGCACTAAATTCAGCCTTAGGTGTTACTTTTCGTAACAGAGCCCCATGACAGAAACTATCTACTGTCCCATAAGATAGTTGCATGGTCTTCTACTTCACCTTGCGTGAGGAGACTACCTAACGACTGTCGTATGGAGAAGGTATTTCCAGAAACCTTTGATCCAATTTTCTGGATCAGCCACAGAAAGAAAGAAAGTGGACTATTAGATAAGTTTTGGTGTTTTGAAGGTGTCAAAACGAGCTTGCGAGTCCTCGTAACCATCTTTTCTTAAGTATTTAATTTTCTGTTCGTGTGTGTACCACATTTTGTTCCATTGCAGTGGATTTTCAAGTCAGGTTCTATTTTCTTTTATTTGGTTTTTATTTCAGTACAATTTAATTCGGTCTTTAATTCAATATGCACAACAACACATTAATACACCCAAACGATCGACCATTCTTCTATTTGTCTGCAATGCGAAAAATGTCTTGTCCTTTTCCTTTCATGTGTCACCACTCTCACTTATCCTTCTCCATACTAGGTCCACGAATATCCAGTTATCGGGAAGACGAGGCAAATAGGTACTACGCTAATCCTCAGTATACCACACTAACACACGCACTATGAATATGTTCTTAATCGGTTGCTGCCTAGCGGTTTGTTTAGTTTCTTTGTAGCGGTTTGTTTAGTTTCTTTGTCAATATGAAAACTAAGCTAGAATATTTGTTAGTTTTTTATTGAAATTATGTTCATCCTAAGCTAACGACCCTGCTGAAGTATATATATAAACAGCAATAATTTATAAACACAGACTCATCTTTATAAGTTTTCATTGCGCTTTTGGCGACGCTTCATATCGTTCGTTATTTTTAACGAAGAGAATTATAGAAAATTGCAACAATGTTTTTGTTCGCAACCTTGTTTATGATCCAATAGAAATAACAAGTTATATAAAGCGTCTATAAGTTTCCTTATGTCTGTAAGTTTAACTTAAACAATGTACTTATGCACAAAAACACATTTTCAAAGCTTTAATTATTTTTTGTTTGCTTGTTTGTAGTTAAGTAAAAAGCTACACTATGGGATATCTGTGCTGTGCCCACTACTGTTATCGAAACCCGGATTCTAGCGTTATAATTCCGCAGACTTATCGCTGTGCCACTGGGGGTACAAGGGCTTTAGATTACATAAATATTAATTTTAGATAACTCTTGAAAGCTACTTAAACTTTCACTAGAACTTACAAATTTTACGAAACTACTGTTCACCAACAGAATACATTAGGTCTTGTTGCTACAACGTGGGCTTACGGTGCTGTTGTTTATTTAAAAGATCATTTTTTTTTATAATCCTATCGTTTGTTTATTCTTCAAATAACTTCAGCTCTAGAAACAGTTATGTATATTACGCCGTACTATGAGAAAAAAAATAGATTTCTAAAAAACATGACAACTCACTTGAGGATTTCTATAAAGGTTTAAGTATTTCTTTATTTTTACTCTATTGAATATTGACTTCTACCTTCTGACTATAATAAGATTCATCACAATTCTACTTTGTTCGTAATAATCATGTCAGTTGTCATGACAACCGAAGATGAAACGAGTCGGATAGACTTGGCAAAGACAGATAAAACAATATAGTGACCAAATAGCACTCATGCAGAACATAGAAGCATACATCAGATAAGTGCCAATATCGCTTCCAGGTGGTCCCTGTTCCCATAGTAACAGTCTTCATGCAGGTAAACAGAAATAACGGTATGGGCGTTTCACATTAAAGATTATTTGTACACGTAGTGTCAGTTTTTACGTTAAACTGGGCACGGTTTTGTAATCTAGACATACTCCAGGAAAACAAATAGTTTTTTTACTAAGTGTGAAATATAAATTTACTGGATTCAACTTGGCTGCGGGTTACGTAAAAAACAAAAACAAACTAATTAGCGTGTTTCGTTGATTAACTCATCTATGTATGTGGGTACCGCGATTTAGGAATTTAATGACACACCTTATCTATACACGTAATTTAGGAAAGTTGCTGTGCCCTTTATAAACACACTTCATGACACACCTTATCTATACACGTGATTTGAGAAAGTTGTTGTTACTGTTGTAACCACACTTCATGACACACCTTATCTATACACGTGATTTAGGAAAGTTGCTGTTACTGTTGTAACCACACTTCATGACACACCTTATCTATACACGTGATTTAAGAAAGTTGTTGTTACTCTTGTAACCACACTTTATGTCACACTTTATCTATACACGTGATTTATGAAAGTTGTTGTTACTGTTGTAACCACACTTCATGACACACCTTATCTATACACGTGATTTAGGTTTGAAGTTTAAAAGCCAACTGTAATATGATGATGATGATGAGATCATTTCGTGATGCCCCATTTTTTGTTCTATAGTAAAATGGCCGTAATCCCCAGACCGCCCTCTCCTCTTACACTGGATATTGTATGTTCAGGGTGCGTCTTATATTCCGAAAAATATGGTAAAAGGTTATAGGGATGGTAAAAAATTTCCTAAAGATGGTTTGTACACTTGTACTAAAGGATCTGGGATTGTGAATTACGATAATATAAAACACAAGTACTTGACACTTATTTTTAGCTGCGACATAGCGGATCATAGAATGACTCTGAATCTGTTTTGTTTTTTTAATAAAGTACAAACTTTTAGCTCATAGCTCCGCCATCTCTTGACCGATTTGAGATCTAATTACAGTTTTGAACTCAGGAGGTCAAATTCTTTAGATTGATGTATTGACCACGCCCAAGGCCTTGTAGATTAATTTACTCTAATCCTGCCTAAAAAAAAATTCAAGTGCCGCGGCTATTGAGGGTTCTCTCTCGTTTAATTAGAATAATAATAATAAATAAAACAAACAGTCCAGTCATAACTGAACTCTGCACTTGTTTGTTGTTTTACTTAAATATAATGCATTAGTGATTTTGACCCGAATTGACCTTTATCAACCCAGTAATGTTATTTCACAGGTTAGGAACAATGTGCTCGCTCCGTAATTTGATGAAATGTGCAGGAAAATAACGAATCTTTAAATCTATCTTTTTTATCTTGTGTTTATTTCACTGACTCTAAAATTGTAATTAAATTATTGTGAGAAGAAATAAGTCGCTTACTTATGGGAGATCACAAGCAAAGTGTGATAAATAATAACAATAGTTACCCTAATCACCAAGAGGAAAGTTGTTTTACCAAATGACAAAGGAACTTTTTGGACTTCCGGTATACTGGCTACTGACAATGTGTCCCTTTATACCATATACGCCCCCCAGTGGCACAGCGGTATGTCTGCGAACTTAAAACGCTAGAATCCGGGTTTCGATACACGTGGTGGGCAGAGCACAGATAGCCCATTGTGTAGCTTTGTGCTTAACTTCAAACAAACAAACAAATATACCATATAGAGCGATTCTAATTTAATTAGAAACAGTCCTTGGCTTTGTGCCAAACTTTCTGATCGATTTACAAGGTCTTGAATTAGAAATAACAACAACAAAGCTTGGATCTGTTGAAATACAGAGAACCACATAAAATTATAAAATTCAACCATATTTAATCTATGGAAGTTTGACTGTTTTGACCAGAAACTCCCGACAATCCCCCAATATCATCTTTATGAAAGATTGACTGTCTTGACCAACAACACCCGACAATCCCCCAATATCATCTTTATGAAAGATCGACTGACTTGACCAGTAACTCTCGACAGTCCCCCTATGTCATCTTTATGAAAGATTGACTGTCTTGACCAGTAACACCCGACAATTCCCCGCTGTCATCTTTATGAAAGATTGATTGTTTTGACCAGTAACACCTGACAATCCCCCTATGTCATCTTTATGAAAGATTGACTGTCCTGACCAGTAACTCCCGACAATCCCCCAATATCATCTTTATGAACGATTGACTGATTTTACCAGTAACTCCCGACAATCCCCCTTTTCCTTGATCCACTTTTCCAGTAATTAAGTCTCCCGCAAATGTCAGTTTTTAAGTTAAGTGTATGTTGATTTAAAAGATAAAACATCATCCTGGATATTTGATATTGAGGTGTTTGTTTACAAGTAACAAATTTGAAACCACATACAGAAACTTTCCCACTTTTCAGGTTATATGCAAAGTTTGAACTTGCCAGTTTGATGGTTATGGTTGAAATTTGCGTACTGTTTTCTTGAGTCTGAATTTCACATTTTTAACTTGCTGCTTAAAATATTCTAAAACTACGTTTTGATAAATCCTAGTAATTAATATACTAAGTGTATCTCTTATTAAAATAAATAATTTTGTCAACACATCATTAAAATTATGTACATTATGAAATGCACATCAACATTCCATTGACCATTTTACTTTAATGAAGTTGAATTATATTACTATGAAGAATTTAGAGTAACTTAAACCACGCGCATTTCTGGAATGTTTAACTGGTATGAATCTCAGAGTTTACGAACATAACACCGTCATCGTTTTGATTTCGTTGAGCTTCGCCTACACGTTTAGTGTTGCACTAAAGTGCGTGAAACCTTAATGAACAGTCATTATATCAAAAACTTTGTAACTTTCGCACCTCTCTTTGTTAGGCTCGAGCTGGATGCTATCCAGCTACTTTTTCTTTTCTTCAAGGGTGGATGCCAAATACT